AAGAAGTCTAACTTTTTAAACTCAATAACTTCAGGATAACTAGAAATTAAATACTACACAGAAAACAGAAATTTACTCCTTTTCTATAATTCTTAACAGCACTGGAGTGAATATGTGATTTGGAACAAAGTAGACTTTGAGACACATGTGGTGCCTTTGGGAGTGACTTTAAGAATCATTATAGGACTGAAAGTATGTATGCTTTTGTATTTAATAGTATGGATCATTATTTCTCAGAAGGAATGTCAAAGAAATATATCAGGTATACGTGTGTGTGTGTGTGTGTGTGTGTGTGTGTGTGTGTGTATGTGATATTTCATTTAATAAGAGAGATGGATGTAATCTGGAAAAAATAATAAAAGCAAATGCTAAGATTCTTCTACCTGCAGAGTAAAATTTTATTCTTAGTTTAAATCTCTCTTCCCAAGTGTATTAGAGCTGAATGGTTCTCAGTGCATCACAATAACTACACTGACATTTAAGACTTGAAGACTGAAATGGATAAAAAGATTTCAGGCAATCTGGTATATAATGTAGTTTATATAATGATCGCCAAACACTTCTTAACATGTTGATACAGTATTCATCCATAAAGGGAATCTAGAGGTTTCTGACACCAAAAAAACCATCTTGTGTTCCTTGCTCTATCATATTTCACTTTTAGTTATGCTGCTTATGTAAAGACTGAATCAACACATCTCATCATTAAAGATGAAAACCCTCTAGTTTCCCCTTTGTCTCTTCTAAGAATCAGACCACATTCCTACCCCTGGAATCTGGCCATTAAGTCAAGAACTGACTGGAGCCTGCTAAGAGAGTTTGCAGGCATTGGTGGAAAAATTAAGTCCAACTTCCTCCCTCACTCAGCTGCCCAGTACCTGGGAAATGTTGATCTATAATCTCAATGTCTTCCTGCCATAATAACTTCAGGCATTCAGGCTAGATTACTATGCTGGACTAGAGCACTTAACAAGAACCACATAGACACACAGACACACCACAAGATACACAGACATACACACACACAAATACACACAGACACACACAGAATCTCTCTCTCTCTCTCTCTCTCTCTCTCTCTCTCTCTCACTCACTCACTCACTCACTCTCTCTCTCACTCATTCACACTGCTGAGAAATTCTACAAGATTATGAAGCATTTTTCTGGTGATTGAAAGGCTTTCTCCTTTATATCATCATCTACACAATGTGCTGTCGGCCTCACGATTGAAAAAAGGCTCTCGTTTCAAAGTGCTCTCCTTGCTATATGTGCTATTAGGTTTTATATCTAATGCTCTCCCTCCTCAAGATTGATCATCGCTGTCCTCAAACTGACACCTCTTTATTGAGTAATGCCTATTCAGAGACGCCCTCCCGAAAGACCAATTTCACTATGAGCCACACAGCCTTCCGGATCCCAGGGAGCAAAAGGGTGACCCCCCTGGAGTCTTTAAACCACTGAACCAGAGGTTCCAGGTGCTTATTCTGAGTGGATAATTTTGTGTTAGGTTTTTTTTAAGCTTCTGTTTTTTCTTTCTTTTTAAAATTTTAACAAAACATGTTTCCTAGAATGTTGTTTATAGAACTTCTCTTTGTGGATATAGCCTTAGAGAGGAAAGACGTTTCTACATAGGGCTTAGCTAGACTTTCCCTGTCTCAGATCCAGTATGAGTAGATGGCAGAGTGAAAGAACAGTTGAGTGATCACATTTTGATCCACAGCCATGAGATGGACTGCACTGTAATGGCATGAGGTTTTTGAAACACTAAAATCTGCCTCTTGACTTTTTGTTTTTTCTCCAACAAGGCCATATGTCCTAATTCTTTTCACAGAGTTTCACCAACTGGAGATCAAGAATTGAAACTGTCTGCCTAAAGATAAGATGGGTAATCTAAGTTCTCATGAGTGAAAAAAATTTCAGGAATTTTAAGTGTGATCTAATGATAGACAAGTGTTTTTAGCCATCATCCCAGAATGAATCATAGACTACTATCTGCTTAACACAACCATAAATCCCCCAATTTAAGACACTCTGGGACATAGTACAAATATTTTAAAAGACTGACCTCCTTGGTCCAAGTAAGAAATTCCTCAAATATGCCTGATATATATCCTAGACTTCAAAAGAAAAATGTTATTGATACAATAACATGAAGCCCTACACACAAAATATCTGCTATAGGTTATATTTATCAAGCAAAAGAGCCCAGGTGTTATTTAAGTACTCTAACTTACCCAGACAGTTGAATAATCAGATTCTGAAAAGAATTAAGGTTTGTCTATCATTGGCAGGATCTACCATTGGCTTCCAAAGTGGACAGTATAACACAGAGAACAATATATATATGTATATGTATATGTATATGTATATGTATATGTATATGATGTATATGTATATGTATATATATTCAAATTGTAATTTATGCTCATTCACACAGTGGTTATAAACACAAAAAGGCAGGACATGGGGAAGGGGATGACACTGGAGCATGGGTGTTCAGGGGGAATAAAGATATTTTTCAGAACAGGGTATCGGCTAGGTGAGGGTTCAGGGGATAGGTCACTATGACTCTACCTATAATTCACTTGTCCTTATCTAAGTTGGTAATATCTTCCAAGGCTACCTAATTACAAGGTCTATGACTACTCAGGCTGGTAAATTGTCACAAAAACTGCCTGTTTACAATAGCTTATAGCCATCTGTTTCAGTGTTTATCCACAGAGACCCAAGACTTGGTGCTAGTATACATGTATGACTGGCCGATTGCTGATTTTAAGCCTATGGCTGATTTTAGGCCTTCAGTGGGTAATCAGGGATGCCCCTGCCATCTCCTCCCTTCTCTAAGTATAGACAGGCTGTGGTGAATCTAATCTTCTGAAGGCTGGGATAGAGGCCTGACCTCCAGTAATTGAAGGGGACTTTGTAATGGCTCTGGTTCCCCTGTCATTGTCCAATGAGGCATGAGGGCCATACTCATCCCAATGTTTTTTTTTTTTTTCCTGGAGAGGGGATACTTCACATCAACCCCTATGCAGTCAGGCTTGTCCTTCAGGGAACCCAGAGAGATATTTTTAACTTTTATTGATATCCCTTTGCAGTGCTTAGCTTCTCAGGCTAAGCAAAATTCAGGTTGCCTGTCAGAGGGGGTTCTGAATGGCCCCTCTCTGCCTGGTCTAGGGGCAGAAGTACCCTCATTTAGGTTGGGTGGAGATGGGTTTTGGGAACACCCTGGATAAAGTAACAACTTCACCTTGAGTCTCGTGATCCTCCATAGCTAATTTATGATAATGTATCTGAATAGGTTTTGTTACCAAATTATTAATCTGTTGTTTCACAGAGTTAGTCAGCCTATTTGAGCCCAGGAACCAGAAGAAATAAGCAAAAAGAACTCAAATAATGGTCCCAACCCTGGAGAGGTTGAAAACCAATTCTTGTACCAGCACTCATCTTTCTACTTCTCTCTCTGACTTTTCTCAGGGCCTTCCACAGAAAACATTTTAAGACAAGTGTCTGTCAAAACTAAATAGTACAGAATAACAATGAAGCCATTTCCATTCAGCCCGGATGCCGCAAAATGTTCTAAGTTCTTGTTATAATCCTTTCAAGGAAACATTTATGTTTGAAATCAGAAAAAAATAACTCCAAAAATCAAGGAATTTAATCCTTTATGGATATTACCACTTTTTTCATTGTTCTGTGAATAAAGACTTGATGAAGACTTAAGCATATAGTTGGTTCAGGAGAAATGAGGGAGCTGTCCTCTCACTGCAGATATAGTTTCAATATGGCTCTGAGGAAAGTTAGGACTCACTTTACGGTTAGTTGGTAACATGGGCAGCCCAGAGCCTCCACTGAGTGTCACTGGGGTATACAGGGAGCAGCAAAGAGTTTTATTATACCTATCTTAGTCAGGTTGCTATAAGGTATAAGCAAAAACTGAAGATAATGCTGGATTCTGACTTGTCTGTAAGCAACAAGTAGCATTTGACCTTCCAGTTTTGACTAATGCTAGGGAAATATAATTAAAATAAAGGCACAACATACACAAAGTTTTATTATAGAACATAATAAAAGCAGAAAAAAACTGATAGCTCTGAGTGCCTCTAAAAAGAAAATGTAGAGGGCATACTCAAGCAGCTTAACAGTACATCTGAAAGGTCTAGAACAAAAAGAAGCAAATTCCCAAGTTATAATTCACAGACCATATGAAGCTCAAGAAAAAAGAAGACCAAAGTGTGAATACCTCAGTACTTCTTAAAGGGGGAATAAAATACTCATAGGTGGAAATATGGAGATAAAGTGTGCAGTAGAGTCTGAAGTAAAGGCCATCCAGAGACAGCCCCACGTGGTGACCCACCCTGTATACAGTAGCCAAACCTGGAAGCTATTGTGGATGCTGAGAAATGCTTGCATAAGAGAGCCTGATATGGCTGTCCCTGAGAGGCTCTGCCAGAGCCTGACAAACACAGAGGTGGATGTATTTGGACTTAGTGCATGGCTCCCGATGGAGGAGTTGTAGAAGTGACTGACAGAGCTGAGGAGGTTTGCAGTCGCGTGGCGGGAGCAACAGTGTCAACCAGCAAGACCCTGCTCAAGAGCTCCTGGGGACTGAACCACCAACCAAAGTGGTACCCATGACTGCAACCTCACGCAAGTGGCAGAGGAGGGCCTTGTTGGACATCTGTGGGAGGAGTGACCCTTGGTCCTGTGGGTGTTCGACGCTTCAGTGTAGGGGAATGCCAGGGTGGGAAGGCAGGAGTAGGTGCATGGTTGGGTGAGTACCTTCATAGAGGCGGGGAGTGGGGGTATGAGATAGGGGGTTTCGGCCGGGGAGACCTGAAGAGGGGATAACATTTGAAATGTAAAAAAATAAAATATCCAATAAAAGAAAAAGTTCTAAATGCATAAGATAATTCCTATATAATAAGGTCCGGGAGTACAATCCAAGAAGCAAGACTTACCCAAAGTCCACCAACCACCAGGTAACAGAGACTTACCACTGAGTAGATCTGATGCTTGCGCCTTTTAGCCAAGTCAATTATGTTCACTCCATTGTAGTAAAGATTTTCAATACAGCCATGGAAGTTTTTCTTTAAAAAGGTCCCAGGTTTGCTTGGTACGGGAATTCCTCCAAAACTGAGCTTTATGGTGGAAGAAGTAATAATCGACTCTTAGTCACAAGTTCTGAGCATGGAGGAATGCAAGAGAAATAAATGTGTCTTTGTAGATTTAGTTTTATGTGTGAGCAAAGTGGCTTTAGTGATTGCAGATGACATTTGATTTCTCATTTAAAGGGATACTGATTAATCTGTGGAAAATAACTACAATTGCTTGCCTCATAAGTACTCTCTTTACAAACCATTTTCGTTTCTTTCTTAAAGCTTTTTAATACTAAATAAGACAGTAACTTACAGAGAAAACAAGGAGAAAAGAAGACTAAAATCAACATTCTATGTTTATCTATAACACAGAAGCAGAGAAGATACAAGCATGAAAAATCTAAGAAACAATGTACATCCTTGCTCAAACACAGTGAAATGTAGTTCTAAAATCCACAGTACCAAAGGGCTTATATGCACAGGGTTGTTCCCCAATTTTATTAATAAAGTAAAAAGACTGAAATAATATAAAATGCCCTATGGATTTGAGAAGCAGTTAATGAACATAAGGAAACTGTTATTAACAATGCAATTTTGATTATAAAGTAGAAGAATTATAACTTGTGGTAAAGTATGAATTCACTTAAGAGAAAGCTGCACAGGCTCAGCCACCCAAGTTTGATTACTAGAACCCTCATTTTTTGTTTTGTTTCTGTTTTGTTTTGTTTTGTTTTAAAGCAACAAAAATCAACCCAAATGAGGTAGCCTACACCTGTGGTCCCTGCACTACTATGAACAGACAATAGGCCAGGCCAAGAGAAATATCCAGAAACACAGCTGCCAGCTATTCTGGAGTTGTTACACTGCAGCAGCTAAGTCCGAATAGATTCTGTCCCATGGTGAAAAGTAAACAACTACTGAAACTACTGTCCTCTGACCTCCACAGGCCTGCCATGGCATGTCCGTGCATGTGTGTATACACAGACACACAGACACACAGACACACACACAGAGAGAGAGAGAGAGAGAGAGAGAGAGAGAGAGAGAGAGAGAGAGA